GCTATATCATGCCCTCGAAGCTTTCTCGTTGCTGATATTTTAGACCATATACAAAGGCCTTGAATTTTTTAATTAGCGCTGTCAAATGGTTTCTGTTCTCCCCCCCTCCCCCAAAAAAACTAGATCATTTCCGTGATAAAGTTCTGGACTCAAAGTTCCTGATTTACTTTCATAAGTATTTAACTATATAAAATTTCAATCTCCCTTCCAGAACTTGGGCTTGCTTCCGTGAAAATGGAGGATCCTCTCCACTACCCAACAGATCGGGTGAGATGCTACGCCTAATTTTTTTTTATTTTATTTCATCTATTACTTTGGAATTATTGGCAGTGTGGGTAGGCATCACCCTCTATTTACTATATTTCAAATTTAATCGAATCGTATTTTATTTCAAAGTTACAAATTCACCAATAAAACGAATATGGATTATTCAATATCCATATTTGACATTGAATATCCCTAATCATTCCGTGTTTGTGTAACTGGAAGCATCACCGTGAAGTTGGAATAGATTAGGCAGCGTGCCGACTTCACCGTGTTCTGGCCTATTGACTTTGAATGTAGGCGCTGAAGAGACATACTTTTGTTTGACTCGTAAACTGTAGATGTAGCTGTGCCTGCTGTAGCTTATTTGCCAACGGTCGTTTTGGCAGATGCGAGCTCTTTTGATCTTTGGGGGGAGTATTATTACCGAAACATGGCTAATCTCTTAGACCAGTAGCTTATTGTTGGAGATCCTTGATTGAAGTTGAGAAGAACTATGCGCAAATAGAAAAGGAGTGTCTAGCCGTAGTCTGGGCTTGCAAAAAATTTGATTAATTGATTCCTTAATTTTTATTTGGGAGGAGTCTCCAAAAAACAACATTAACGATAATTACACGAAATGTGTAATCCGGCCACGTGCTTCTATTTACTGAAACTATCAGTGTTGACAAGAACTTGTTCTCATGGTTGCATAAAATTCTAAAGAAACATTTTATTCTACCATCATAACCATAGAGATTGCTGCATACCTCATAATTAATTTCTGAGTATTTTTATCCTTCAGCAGCGCCATTCTTCTGTGTTTTCTACAAAGCGATATTCTCCTAATAATAGCGTTTTTAGGCCGTAGGCTTATCGCCGACAGAACATTCACACCTTGTTGCGGCCTCGAACTCTCAATTCACTGCACCAATTTTGCTTTGCTCAAGCGCTCGGCCTCCTCGCCGATTCTGACCAGAAACTGGCACTCCGAGCTGGGATCGAACCCATACCTCTCGATCTGCTCCAATCCTGATACTCTGTACTTTAAGCATTGGGCCACCCTGCCCATAAATTGAGAAAGATGGGTTCCTAGCAAAATCGGCGTTTTTATCTCTTCCATGCTAATTTATAGTTGCCCTGATGATTTTTTTTTTGTATTCTGCAAATTTTGAACTTGTGATGGAGCGATTTTCCAAACTGTTTCCAAATAAGATACGTCTTAAAGAATCGCTCCGTCATCAGCTCAAAATTTAGGGAATTCAAATACAATCATCATGGAAACTATAACTTAATACTGAAGAGATAAAAACCAAAGTAAATGGAAACCGGGCAACAAAACAGTAAAACCAATCGATCAAAAATTTCGAAGGGAACGAATTGTAGGCTTTATTGAGTCGATGTTTCCAGTAAAAATGTGCAGCGATTTCAAAATCTCCAAAATCAATCCTAACAGAGGATTAAAACTAAGTTTATTAGAGTCGCTTTCAAACACAGGTACATGGCACTGTTCAGTGCGAAGGCACACTGCTAAGTGAAACGGGTGGGCGAGAGGCAGATTTGAAAGATAGCTCCTGCGGTGTACAGCAACCCGAAGGTCGAAGTTTCGAGACGTCATTCCGACGAACGCAGATGAGCACCGCGTCCAACTGTATTAAAAAACTATAGAAAACCGTTTTCTGGCTGGGACATCATCCTTATCCATAAAAAATGTGGAGCCAATTATGAAATTTTCACGAGTAAAACATGCAAGTTAATAAACCTAATATATCCCAGAAATAAGATCAGTAATTCGCTTCATATTAAAAAAATGTCGAGCTAACAAAGTAGGCCGGGCTAAGTAAAACAAATAGTACAGTTACAGATTCAGGTTAATTATGACTATTCTTCAAACTTTTTTAAATCTTGTTTATTTCGAACCACGTCTTTAAAGAAACAAAACATTTTTATTTCATTAACTAAACTGTTGCTGATGCTTATAGTAGGAAAACTATTTGTCGCACTCTGTCCTACTTTGGTAGATCCTCTGAAAATAAGTCCACAGAATTGATACTTTTCTTTCTGAACTATTTTCAGCTTGTTAACATGTGTTATTTACTCGTGAATAATTTCAAAATTGGAGTATTTTTCAGCTATAAGGATTCTGTTTATGGTCAAATACGGTGTTTCCTGGTTTATGAATATAAGTGTGGGTGATGCCCTTTCGCGAAGCCGGAATGGGGTCTTCTAGTTTTTATCTCCCGGTTGCCGAACACAGCTGGAGTTATCGTTCGAATCTGCCTCTTTTCTACCCTACCCATATTGCTCTGCTGTGTGATTTAACGCTGAACAGTGTGCGTGCCTGTGTCTGAAAGCTTTTCTATATAAGGTATTTTGTTCTGGTTCGATTTTGAGGATTATGAAATTGCACATTTTTGGGCCGCCTGCCGAAGACCACCACTGCCCTGGATGTTATGGACCATCATGATTCCTGCCTTCCGGAACGCAGCCTTCAACACTTCAAGCCGTCCGTATCTAGGCCGTGCGTCGAACTAGTCCTCGGTCGAACGGCCACTTGTCGAAGGACGATAAATTTTGGAACAGAACTATGCTATCTGAAACCTAACCTCAGATGCGGTGAACGTAACATTACGTAATTTAACGATGCCCGGAAGTCGTATTCGATCCGCGGTCTGGTAGTGCACGGCAGGTTCTATGCAAGGCCGGAAGAGGACAAAGTCGAGTGGTTCACGGCTGAGAGGTGGATGTCCGGAGAGATCCAAGGCGTTCGATTCAGGGCTTATTGGTGCACAAAATTGGTGGTGCAGGGACGGAAGCCTTAGTAGTGCCTTCAGTTCGTATCCTTTTGTAATTGTTAATCGATAGGCTTTTATGTTCTGTTGTCGGTGTTTTGCAGCTTAATTTTTAACCTCCTCAGTGTTAGTTAGAATTTTCTCTGATTGTACTTTTATTCTCAAAATTTTGATCTGACAATGGAGCTGGTTGCCAAAATGTTTGCACTGAAGATGTGGTGTTTTACTCTATGTGGAGTTTTCTTTGATTTTAAATTCTAGTTAAATATGGGTTTTACTCTAATCGCTTCTGTGTCGTTTGTTTCTTATATCTGATGTGGAATAGTTTCACGGCAATTGTTTCAATATGCTAAGCTATGTACATTCATATCGATTCATTAATAATAAATTTTCATAACTAGACGAACTTATTTTACAGGAGTCAGCCGACGCAGCGCTGGCGAGGTTTCCGGAATTCGCCGCAAATCTAGAATTTTCATCCTACTTCGAGGAGGCTTTGAGTGGGTTTAAATAACATGTTATTTTACGCTTCCCTTCCCATAGCTTATACATTTGGTAAATCTCATTTGGTGGTCAATACTTTATACATTTGGTGGAAAATACTTTATGCATTTGGCGCATCTCTCCTTTTAATTGATTATTACGATGCATGGGTTTGTTCTTGATTCCGTTTCGTTCTTTTATAAATGATATATTCCTGCTATATGGAATATCGAAGAACTGTGCACGAATCTGAAAATATAATGTGTCGATCGTAATTTCTAGTTCTGATTTTTGTCGTTCTAAAGTATCGTGCTGACAAAAGAATTTTTCTGATACATTTCTGACTGTTCATTCTGACTATTCTATAATGGTGGTGCAGAGTCGATGACAGTGTGCACAAATAAATTGATTGAGCCTTAGTTTTTCGAAAAATCATTCGTTTTTTGATGCCTTTATTTTGATTCACAGGGATCATCTACGGCCGAAATTATTCCATAACAACAGATTACAGCAGAAGAATGAATTTCCACTGTGAGGTAAGAACGTTATATACCAGGTACATTCAAGTTATAACGCACCAATTTTTCTCTCACTAATCACTCGCCCAAAACCAATGACATTTGTGTCACTTCTCTACTGAATCTCCTTGCAGCCGTGCGCAGTTTTAATAACGCCGAGGTCATGATTCCATGGCTACTCCGAGCCTCATGTGACCGATGAAAAATCGTTAAATTCGAGTGCTTCAATTGAGCCGACGGACGTTTTGTTTCACGATTGAAAAGAGGTATCTACTCATCCATACCGCAATCGTAGAACGTAACATTCATGAAGTATCTTGCATCAACATTGCTTGGTAACATGCAACGCGGGCAGCCTTGTGGTCTACACGCTGGTCGTTGTATGAAAACGTTGCCATTTTTGAAATATTTAAAACAACCCAACTCTCGTCCTTGCAGCTAGTGGTTCTCTTTGCCGTATAGAGCCGCAATTTCTCACATTTTCAAAAGGGCCCCGCTCATTTTAACATAAACCGCATGTTTCCATCTAATCCCAATTAAGATAAAAAATATCGGAGGCGTTATAATTTGAATGCGCCTCGTTATTGAACGAAACGGTTACCACTTTGTCATGTGCGCTCAATATTCCCCAACTGTTATTGCTTAGGACACAGTTTCTTTTCTAATTTTGTACACGCAAATCATTACTGGCGTGTACGCGCAGTCATTTTTAAACTTTTTTCAAATTAAACTTAAAAAAAATAATCGATGTACATCATATTAATACTTGGATTGTTACTGATTACCTTATATTCTTAATATCTCAATTTAAATAGCTTGAATGATTCAAAAAAATTATGACCAATAATGGTTTGCAGCTGAATTTTATTTTCTTCATAAATGTGTTTGAATCTATTTGCAGGTATGCCGCAAAACAATGAACGGCCTCAACTCTTTGAATGCTCACGATAGTTCAGGATCTCATGTGAGAGTAATGAAGTATAAAGCCGCGAAGTATCCGCACAACTCGCTGCAGTACGCCATCCTTCAGTCTCACGCCATGATATTGGGTTTGTCATCTGTTTAACGTATCTAACTAAACTTTTTACCGTTTTACTTATGAAAAAATTACAATTCTTTGGCATTTTTTTCTCAGTATACTCCAAGTATTACAATAAATTAACTCCTCAGGAAAACTACTAGTTTCCATCATACTGGGTTCTCAATTGTTACGTTAAATTTCTGACATATTTTAAAAAATATGTATGATTTATATTTCAGGAGCCCATCTGATCGAGGGCTACTCCAGGAATAAACGCGCAGGCGCCAAGTATTTCAAATGCCTGCTGTGTGGTTCACATGGCCACATAGAGGCTATGATCCACCATGTCAAGAACGACAAACATACCGATAGATACATAGTGAGTAGCGCCTGCACGTTGTTTTCTTTGTATTTGATTCTATATCTTCATTTCTATCCATTCATATATTTTAGCTGTATTTAATACATTCTGGAACATTCAGCTTAATTATCGCGTAAGTAAAGAACCGCGTATAGTTGCGTTACCCTTTTATTCCGACAAGCGTCCATATGAAGCATAACGTCGAAAATGGGCATAAAACCACATAAGTGTACATGTTTAAATATTAAATTATGTTCCTAGACAAACCTTGACGAACGAGATAAGGACAAGTTTTTTTTTCCACATTTCGATATCCGATATAATGCATTCGCAATTTTCACACTTCGTGTTTTAATCGCCAAAAGTCACGTAGACCATTATAGAAGAGTAATAATGCAGTTGCATGGTTGTACACGAACGATATTCTTTACGTAGCACATATTTATATATTCTATTTATATATTCAGTTATGGCGTCCACCTGGAGCATAGTTGAAGCATGCACAGTTTATTATTCGTTATTCTCGTTTTCATGTCAGTCATCCTATATATAGACGAGCGGTTTGAATTGTGTGGGCATTCCTCGCCTTTCGTTGGTGTGCGAGCAATTTACATGTTATAATTTCTCTAGTTCGAGGTAGCATATGATTTCCATTACAATCCGTTATGAATGCAGCGCGAAGAAAACATTAATTACTTCATATAGAGTTCAATTGTTTCTTTTTCGCAGAGATTCAGCTTCCAGTGTAACGTGAGAGCTTTTTCTCTCGAAGTCCGCAATACACTGCGACTAAGAGCTTTCGAAAGAGAAGGAGTAAGGGTCGAAGATATCATCACCATTGAAGGTAATCAATTACTTCGTGAGAATCAACGCTAATCATAATACACGAAATTTCATCCCTCGGTATTAATTTTTATTTGTTTAACAGTTAACATAAGGGACACTTTTTTCACTTCCTCGTACCTTTTTTGTTAGTTGATGTGTATATTTTGTTACTAATAAATTCAATATTTTTAAAGATGACTGTGCCTGCTCAAAAATATAAATAATACATAAATATAATTTGCCTAAATAACCATCAGTCATTCTTTGTAATCGGCCGGGCGACTTGTAACAATTTAGAATTAAATTAAATTAAAATAGCATTATGGCATTGGTCTTCTAGTCCTGTAATGTTTGCCGTCTGTAGTTGTTTGAAAGCCCAACTCTCACAGACGAATCGCTGTACCCGGACCGATGGGAAGACGAGTCTCTTTCGGTGACAAGGCTGCGTCAGAAGCAAGTCAGGTCGGTTATATTGACTATTCAGGAATTTATTTTAACCAGAATATATATTTACCGCAATATTCCTAAGTATATATTGACTATATTTGTGAATGTTCCTCCAAGCTTCATTTTCTCTAATGTAGCATTTTTTCTATTATGGAACTTGGCTTTCATAAGCAAGAGCTGCGATTTGCCGTTGCAACTACGCTCCATTTTGTTCCAAAAAATTCTCATTCTATTACACTTTTAGTGAATTGGCGCCGGAATGTTCGCAAATTATGTATTTGGTTTCAGCATGTATACGATAGTCATAGAATTTGATAGGTTTGATTGAAGACCAGAGCGTAGTTTTTATTAACAATTAACAATTGCAGATCGTAGCAATATAAATGAAAAACTTCTGCCTAACTACACTAAGATTTTGATATATGCATTAACCAGAGTTCCGTCAAGTTACTCGTTTGTGTTTCAGAGCTGGGAGCTATGGCGGACGCAATCCTAGCTCCTCTTCTCGTAAGTGATGCAGCAAAATCTCTTATGTCAATGCAATATATTGTTGTTTAATTTATCGGCCTAAAACATGAATCGGAATGTATCTTTATTGAATATAATGAAACATCTTGAATATAATGCATTTTTATTGAATAATCGTTTCGTGCACCTAAACTGTACCATAATCTGTGTCCTGAAGCACATTCAGATCGTAACTTCTTGTGTGTATGTAATGATTTAAGCGTGTTTACTAGTAGCACGAGTATCTATATTCATTTAAATGAACAGATGGAGAATTCAAAAATGATTTTTTTTTGGACAGGAAGTCGTTGCGTTAGTGTGGAAAGGTCAAGCCTGACTTCTTTCAAGCGGAAAGCGAGTGAGGATCAAGTGGGGCGAGTCGTCGCGAGCTTCCTTCGCGACGTGAGGAACCACCAGGGATACGAGCTTGAGCAAAGTCGTTTGGCTGCTCGCAGGCAACGCTGTAAGAGATTTTTTTGTTTCATGTCAAATTGCTTAATGCGTGTAGCGGCGAATTGCAGAAAAGTCGTAAATTGATGTTTTGATATTAATTGAAATTTTTGAGGCATCCCAATGCAATAGAATTGTACTTGTAATAGACTGTAAATTGCAATTGTATTTTACGTGGTGTTGCTATTTATTCACCTACATGTGCAATACTTTGTTTTTCATTTCTGGAATCTTCTTCAGTGATGGTTTGTTGTATGATTATCCAGTCATAAATTGTTATATTTACTATAGATTCTAGGAATTTGAACTCATATATGTCTTCCCTCGAGTATTTCATAAGGTATGAATAAAATATGTGGATTGGAAACGTGTAACCTTTGCTTGTAATTGTCAGCTGTAAGTATTTTCTTCATTCATCTTTCAAAAGATAGCACGTGAAATGATTTGTTTGAATACATTTTTATAATTTTGGAATCCTCGAGCAGTTTCAAGACCGCCGATGAGGGACCAGGCCGTGCAGGTCTTCTTTGCAGATCGCATCGAAAAAGTCCTTAGAAAACTAACTGTTATCATCCGCGCTACCATGCTTCCTGGTTTGTTTAAGTGCTAAAAATAATATTAGCAATAAATAGCATCTGATTGACGCTCTAGTTACTGATATTCTAGATCCTTTATTAGTTAGTAAGTCAATAGCTGAACTTTTAGCGTGGTAAACCGCTTGTAATCAATTAGTTTCAGTAGTTCATAAATATGAAAGATTGAAGAATTACTTAATTCATGACCATTTTTCTATAACGTTTCATATCAATTCTATGTACGTAATAAATAATAAACAATACAGCTATATCCTAACTGAGACCTTATATTTTTGAATGATGTTTACTTTAATGAATTAGCTAAGAAGCTTGATAGCTGGTGATAGTAACGTGACGTCACTTGTAATGTTACAGGCAGCGAGGTGGCTTCACTCAGTGATGCCAAATCGTGCATCAGGCACATGTTCAGCGTGGGTTGTCTGCTATACCAAGCCGTGTGCGCGCGAGCTGAGCTGTGTTCCCAGCCTGCGCAGCGTCAACTCATCCTGCAGTCCAAGGAGGTTAGTCGTTACCATTATCTTATTATAACTCTGGTTTTATATAGATTAACATCCATGAAAATGTATCATTACCACATGCAGTATCATTATTATTAACACGAAATTAATTATATTATATTATATTCCTATTATAGTTGGTGCAATATACATAATCGGAATTGAGTAATTTTAGTATTGGATTAGCTTATATTTGCGTTCATTTCCATTGTAATCAACTACCAGAATAAAGTCCATGTTTTTATTTATTTATAATGTAAGGGTTTTCGTTCTCTCAGAAGCCATACAATGTATTTCTCATTGCAGAGCATCGCCAAAGCTCAAGGTTGTGTTGTCCACGCCCTCGCGCCAGACTTGGAGATCAGGGACGACAGGCTCGGCTCCTGCCTCGGTGACATCATTAAAATGTGGGATCTGATTTTGATTCAGCCCAAGTAATGTGATGATGCTGGTATGTGATGTTGGTGTCTGATGTTTGGCTGTCGCTTGCGACTGGAGGTGCTGTACGGTTGCCTGTTACTTGAGCATTATACTTCCTTCATATCTCGGAACATTTTTGTATATGTCGTCAAAATTGCAAATAATGCTATGGCTGTCAACAACTGACTTCTAATTCAACAACTGGCTTCTAATACAACAACAGACTCACGCACATAGTGTCCCTAGACCTAAATGGTAAACATTTAGCCATTCATGCCGAGCTAGGAGACGTCAGAAATATTCCAGTATTCCTGACGTGTCCAGTGACGTTCAGTGAGTCACGTGAATTTGAATTCAGCGCCCCTTTGAATTCCTCATCCAGAAGCTCGCTAGGTGAACTTCTCACTTTACTTGCCTCCCAAACAACCAAGTCTGGTTTACTGAATTTAGAACAAAAATAACCAGATCTGATGTTAAGTAGGCATATTTTTTGACGGCAACCACAAGGTAACAGCGAGTTCAACTTAGGAAGCTCATTGTGATGCTCGGCATTCATTCTATAAGAGTTCGGTTTTTATGCCAGTAAAAAAGACATAACTTGTTTTCCTAAGTTGGCGATGATAGCTACATGAGACATTAACAGGTATAATGGCTGCATCAGAGTACATGAACTGCCAATCGGTTCATTCTTCTTCGCCATTTGCGAAGGAAATTTGTTTGCGTCTGCCTATCCCTCACTAGGGTTGGTGGTGATGTACTACTATCTTGACATTCTTACGATGCTTAATAGGTGATTTTTTTCTGACAGGTACTTAAAAAGGACCAAAACTATATCTTTTGTTAGTAAAAGGAAATGTTTATTATATGGATATTATTATTATCTAAGTTTATTTTATTTTTGATGATTCTATGGATTTTTTTGTCAATGATAGGATATTTTTTTACTGCTCTAGTTTATAGATGTTCTGATTGTGTTCTATTTGTTCATTCTAATCTGTTGTTTCTGTTGAGCTTAGTATTAAATAATAGGAGTTAAGCTCGCCGTAAGACGAAGCAAATGTATGCTGTGAATCATCGAAGTTTCCATTGTTTGAATCTCACCACGTTTCCTGAGCCAGTCGAGCTAAAACTATTGCAATCGTTGGACATATGTGCTTAATTTTTAGGCTTAATAAGATATATAGGATAAGATTGTTCGACAAAGCAGTTTCTCGACTGATGATGACTTTCAACCCATTCAACGAAAAAGTTTTTGTTTTAACTTATAAAAGTTTTGATTACATAATATGCGTGAAGGTTATTACACAAAAAAGATTTTATAATATAAAAAAATGCTTTCTAAATTAATGTTTTGAACGTTCTTGAATGAATGGAGCAAGTCTCCTTGCACCACTAATCGCGTTGCGCCCTGCTACTTGCTATCGTAGCTCGCTATGTTACGGCCTAGATTTATCAGAGAATGCATAAAACAATAAGCCTCGAGTATTCTGACTACCGCATGCAATAAAGCCTCGACTCCATCGACCGTGCATTCGCTCACTAGCTTTTCAACATTCGACATTGGCCACTTTTTCTGCCGATCATCAGCAACAGCCGCGCCAGGCATCGTTTCGTATTTATCCTGTCCTGGCAACGGGCATGAGCGCTTGAGTGGTTTAGAGTTGGCAGACATAAGTACTGCCAATAGGCCTGCGGTTCCAATCATCATTTTACTACTGCTGGATCACTGGAAGCCATGTTCACTGTCTCACTTATCATTTACACATGTAAATCTGTATATGAATAATTTTGTGAGTCTCCAGCCAATTTGTTGAAGGCTGTCAGACTGAGGAGTTAAATGTTGGGCAGACTGAGAGAAATCAAAATGTGGGCCCGTGTCATACGCACTTCAACCTGTTGTTAAATCAGTCCGTATATATTTTGCAGAGGACACAAAGTTTTGGTCCTGCTTCAGCTTATAGTTGATTTACTGAAGGTTGATGGTTGATTTACTGAAATAGAAGTTGATCTACTTAGTGCTTCCTGTGGCTGAATCTCAAACTATCATGTCTCAAATGATAATAAAGCCATGGATTTTGCTGCTCAACTTGTGATACTAAGTTATTCTTTGATCATGTACTTTGTTTTTCTCTCTGCGATGCCATTTCTATGTACCTTTTTTGCCGAAATAAAATGTTATTCATATGCCGAGAATGTTTATTAAAATTAACCTTGAATTAGTATATGTTGTGCATAAATTTACAAGGTATTTACCTTGTAGAAAGATGACGCCTCCTTAATTTAGGTAAAATCATCATCTTTGATACTGCACGTCATTTTTTCAATAGGCACTTACAAAAGATATTCCACATAATAATTTCGAGTTTTTACTCTGTAATTTTCTCAAATTGGAAAAAAGGCGACATATATTATCAAATGTTAGGAAGTTTTGACAGTCTTTTAATAGTTAAATCTTCCATCAATATGCCTTGAAGTATTGAGCCCTTTTATATTTTGAATATTTATGCTTGTTTGCTGATTAGCATAAAAATCAGATGCCTATATGCAAGGTTCTTATAAGCTCCTTAATTTTTAATTGTTTCAGTGCACAACAGGGAGATCATAGTTTTCGTTACATTGTAGATGTTATACATGTTAGTCTACTCGAAAAAAAAAAATATTTTAACGTTAAGGCCCTCATGATTGCATTTCTAACTCTTCAGTGATATTTAGAATAGAATAGAAGTGTCGGCACTGAATAAATAAGCCCATGTTGTAACACATTAATGCGACAACATTTCTTCTCGCTTCGAGTCACCGACATGTGGAACAGCCTCCCTCACAGCATCGTTGAAGCTCCGAGTATGAACGCCTTCAAGAACAGACTAGACGAAGCTATGCAGGAGCATATGTTCAGTCTTAAAATGCCTAGCAAATTACGGAGCAGGCAATAAGTCCAGCAGCTATCTCAATCAAACGTCAGTTATGGAAAGAAAGGCCGGATCACTTGTGAATCAAATCATGAAAAATTTAAGAATCGGCAACAGGCCATGGGCCTATTTCTTCAGTGCCGACACTTCTATTCTATTCTATGGCCTGTTGCCGATTCTTGTACTTTTCGTGACTTGATTCACAAGGGATCCGGCCTTTGGGACCCGATCTTTCCATAACTGACGATTGATTGATATAGCTGCTGGACTTATTCCGTCCAGCAGCTATTCGGTCCGTAAGTTGCTAGGCATTTTTAGACTTAACATATGCTCCTGCATAGCTTCGTCTAGTCTGTTCTTGAAGGCGTTCATACTCGGAGCTTCAACGATGCCATCAGGGAGGCTGTTCCACATGTCGGTGACTCGAAGCGAGAAGAAATGTTGTCGCGTTGATGTGTTACAACGCAGTTTTTTTTAGTTTAAAGCCGTGGCCCCTGGTGTTGGTTCTTGTTTCAAATTCTAGTATTCCTTCTGGGACCTTGTATAAACCGTGGGTATAATTTTATACTTCAATGAGGTTAAACAGCAGACGTCGATGACAGGCTTGGAAGCTTCATAATCTTTAAGGCTTGCCTTTTTTTCTTCATAAGGCTTGCCTTTTAATCCCGGAATTATCCTTGTTGTACGCCTTCGAACACTCTCGACTAAATTTGTGTCATTTATTGTTTTGGTGACCACACGGCGTTTCCAAACTCTAGGTTCTGACGCAGGTCTGCTACAAACAACAGTTTCATCGCTTCGGCATCTACAGTATGTAATCGTAAGAGCGTCTGATCAGTTCAAGTCGTATATTGGCTTTATTAGCTTGAGCTTCAATATGCTTAGAATTTTTCAAGTCATTGCACAAATTAACTCTTAAATCTTTTGCCAATAGGATTTGTTTATTTTGACATCATCACTCTGTCGTTACAACCATGTCTTCTCATACTGTAATCTTGCTGTTTATTATAAATTGCCAAGGTAGAGTACTTTACATTTGTCAGCGTTAAAACGCAGTTGCCACTTATCAGCCCAGTCAACCGACCTGTCAAGATCACCTTGAAACTGTACATTTTGCGACGTATTCTTCACTGTATTATAAACTTTTGTGTCGTCAGCATACATCGAGCACGCGATAGACACAGCTTCTGGCTGATCGTTTATAAACGNTCGGTGAGTTATGCGTGCCACAGTTGAAAATTAAGTTAGGTTTTCCATTCCAGCTCGCAGGCGAGTTCGCACGCGAGTTCGCTGAAGTGTCGGACCGGTACAAAAAGAAGGCTTTCGGGTTCTTATTTGCATTTTAGGGAATATTTTTTCGAAGGTTTTTACTGTTTGTTGAATTCCGAAATAAATGCATCAACTATTGAAATTCTCATTCATTCTGTTTGCCTCTCGGATTTGATTATAGAAATACGAATTACAGAAATATCACAAAATTCGGGACTGGAATAATTCCTGGGTAAAATCCCTTCAAAATATGGCAATTCCATTTGAGTCAGCAACACTTTTGTCGGGCTCAGTGATTGGCGGTCTTCACTAAACAGATTTGAATTCGTTCAGTTTAGGACGGTAGGTGGTGTCGTCAGTGTTGTATTGGTAAGGATGCGGTTTTATGATCAGTTGTACAGTTCGTCTACGACACGACTCGCACGAGTGCTCTCAAAATTTCAAGAAGCTCACAAAATTTCTATTGTAGCCTAGTATTTGCTTAGTGAGAAGGATTATAACAATTTAGTTAGCCTACGTAATCCTATTGTCCAGGACTCCAGGCGTCAACAAAAATTCAAAATGGAATGTAACAGGTATGTTATTCAGCTGTCTCTTATACACATCTAGATGTGTATAAGAGACAGCTCAATCANGAGAGATGGAGAAAAACATAGGAAACAAATTCTGACCTTTCAAAATTTTTTAACTCTATTACTTTTCGAGTTACAGCCATTCAAAGTTGGGTATCGTTTTTTTTGGGACACCCTGTATATCACCATGTTCCTACTCAGTGTGGAATTCTATACAGGTAATATATTCTCACATTTACATAAGAAAATACATTGAAAAGCCTACCATGCTACATCTTCCACTGCAGTGACAATTGATACTGACTTCCACTGCAGTGTCAATTGATTATCTGAAACTGACAAATTTGTGCAATGACTATGTTCTAAAAAAAAATTATATCAACTTTTGTAAAAAATTCTCATGACAATAAGAACAAAATTTTTGATACCAGTCATACCACACAAAAAGATGGGATTAACTGCAAATCTTTCATGGCATATGGGCACATCATGCTGCCATGTAAACATTTGACAAGACAGTGTCACACACCTTGTTTTGGTCCTGTCTCTTATACACATCTAGATGTGTATAAGAGACAGGTATTAGGCCTTTAATGCCCATTGACAAAATTTTTCTACGTCAAATAGTTTTTGAGTTGTGGGGGTTTTTGTTAAAAAAATGAAAAGTGGTCTAAGTTACCCCGCCGGTCTAAGTTACCCCATTTTACGGTATGGCCTAAGGGTACGCACACAGTGAAAGCAGGTTGACAGCGTGCTGGTTACCTGCTCAGGCTGGCACCTGAAACCGTAGAATACAGAAGCCTATCCGTACAGGTTTTCACTGTGAACAGTTACATGATCATCCTATGTTCATTCTTGTGGCAGGTTGAAGCAGGCTGCCCGCGCGGGTAACCTGCTTTCACTGTGTGCGCACCCTAACGGTGATGTCAAGCGCGTGACAATTCTTTTTAATATCGCCTACATTCGTGAGTTCTATGACGAAACGTGCCAAAATTAGCAGTGTACCAGATATTTCTTCTCAAATACTGAACAGATCTGAACGAAACTTTGCATATAGAAACCTAACCTCCCAATGGTGTGATGTTTAGCTCGAGACAATTTTTTTACGTTTTGCCTTCGTTGGCAAGTATTTTTCTCTTTTCCCTCATTCGTGATTTAAAAAGTAAATTTGTTTAAATTCGCAGTGTACCAGAGATTTCTTCTTAAATACTGAACAGATTTGAACAAAACTTTGCATAGAGAAACCTAACTTCCCAACGGTGATGTTTAGCTCGTGACAATTTTGTCAATTTTGCCTTCGTTTGCGAGTTATATACGGCTTTATGTATATGGCTCTTGGTCAATGCAAGTTAAAAAATCGGCCTGAGAAATGCTGGTCGTTTCTCCGTATAACTCGCAAATGAAGGCAAAATCGAAAAAATTGTCACAAGCTAAACATCACCGTTGGGATTGGGAAGCTAGGTTTCTATATGCAAAGTTTCGTTCAAATCTGTTCAGTATTTTAGAAGAAATCTCTGGTACACTGCGAATTTAAACACAATTTTGCGTAAAAAATTGTCACAAGCTAAACATCACACCGTTGGGAGGTTAGGTTTCTACATTCAAAGTTTCATTAAAATCTGTTCAGTATTTTAGGAGAAATGGCTGGTACACAGGTCTCGGACAAATTTACAGCCGGACTGGCAGCCGGTCTCGCGGCCAAAAGGTTTTCTTAGTGTTTTTATGAGTTTTTCTAGGTCTTATGTGTTTTTAATGGAACCTGTTCCTAACTGGACCTAACCTGCGAGGTTTTTGTTGATTGGCTAGGTTTTTTCTAGGTTTTTAGTCCGGCGGCCGCGAGACCGGCCGTAAATTTGTCTGAGACGTAGTGGTACGCTGCAAATTTCGGTACGTTTTGTCATATAACTCAAAAATGAAGGCGATATTAAAAATAATTGTCACAAGCTTGACATCACCGTTAGGCCATAATGAATATGCGTACCAAGTTTCATTGAACTACGTTCAGTACTATTGGAGAAATTTCAGGCAGAGTCCAGCCACGAAACCGGCTGCAAGTACGGCAGTAAATTTGTCCGAGACATTATCACATGACGATGAAGCAGCATTGCGTAAAAGTATGTAAGGACAATGTTGGAAATTTCTGATGACAGTTACGTTACGATGACAGTTACGTGACATATTTTATTTACAAAAGATTTCACACTCAAAACTATTTTCCCATTAATTACAATGATGAAATTATTTCTGACTCCTTTCATTAACCGTAGAATCTCTAATAACCCTATCAGCGCAATAATAGTATTTATAGAACGAGCAAAATCTGTCATTTAACACTAATATGTGTTTACTTCATATGTCCAATTTCTGAGGACTTGGTTATTCACCACTTGCCTCACGTCTGGACTGAATATTGCCTCACGTCCGGACCGGACGGTCTACGGTAGGTAAAAAACACAAACGATGTTCACCTGTTTGTATAAGAAATTTGTAGAAAATTTCTTTGTAAATAAATTTCTAGATTTTTGCTTTCACAAAATTTCCATATCAAGGAAAATCATAGATTATTGATGGATAATTAAATGCATATTACTTATTAAGTATTATACATTTTCTGTCTCTTGTCCCTTGACAAAATGTATGTGCGCGCTACGCCAATGCTTGCGCGCGCTGCGCCGATGCTTGCACGCGCTGCGCCAACGCTTGCGCGTGCAAGCAGGGATGGCCAGAAGTTGCACCAACTGTGCGCCGCAATAGCTTGAAAAAAGTCAAAATGCGCGGGAAAATTCACTGAAAACATACATAATCCTGAGTGTGGGTTTTATGTCCTATAAATCTACCAGACTCTACCCTCTATACACACCTACTAGACTACTAGTAGTGACTGACTGCACTGTTCCCATTTAATTCAGACCAATAAACTAATACTAAGCATAAACTGAACGATAACCAAACAAACCTCATACTACCTGAAACAAGACTTGAGTTATGAGAAAAGCTAACACTGTTTGAAATAAACATGTGCACAATTCAAATATTTTATATCCATTCACTGCATTTAATTATTTTATATATAGTCTTGTAATTGTAATTGTTTTGTTTCTAGTTTTAAATTCACATATTCAGAGATTGAAATTAAATATTTTAATTAGAATACTCGTATTAGGGTGGAAAATCTTTCTAATTGCCTAAAAGGTCAATACAATCTCAACCTCTCAATATTCAGGGTGGGGAAGAACCGATCGAGTAGTTTTGAGGTAAAATAAAAGAGTAATGGAGGTATATATGGTACCTACTTCTTCAAAATCGCACTTTTCACACTTTTTTTCAGTGATTTTTTAGAGATAGTAAATGTTTGATTTCCTGACTAGCTTTATACATAATAGATAGTAAAAATGTTGAAGTTTATGCCACAATTATTAGTTTAGCTGCTACAACATTTCTATGAAATGTGGGATGCTTGTCCCTATTTATCCCGCCTGTCCCTTTTTATCCTGTTTGATGGTATATCAACTTTTGCAAAAAATTCTTATGATTTGTCCAATACCAACAAAGTTTTTGATATCACACAAAATAATGGGATAAACTGCAACTCTTTCACGGAGTTCAGGCACATGGTGCTTCCATGAAAACATTTGACAAGATGGTGTAACACACCTTGTTTTGGTCAGGTCAAGTTTGAATTCACAATAAATAGATTTGTTTCACATTCCACACAGAGATTTAAATGATGAAAATTTGTTTCAAAATTTAAACACTTATTGATACATGTCCAGATATGAATTTTATTCATGTTTTTGCTCCTATTTTGTCAATATTGTCAACATAACTTCACACTTCATATTCTGAATGATTTCATCTCTCATTGCGAGTTTTCAAACGTCTCATGTCTTTTAGAAAATGTTTGTTGTTTAGAAGTGGCAATTATTGCATTAAATAAATCATTGAGCGTTTAGGCATGTACCATGAGGCATGAGGAGTATTAAATAATTTAACTGAATAAAATTTAATTTTTAATTTAAATATTTTAATCCAAAATTTTATTTAATATTTTTAAAATTTAATTTAATTCTACAGCTGCAACCAGTAAAATGAGCATCATCAAAATGAAGGTAAAATTGTCATGCATACTGTTACAGCATAATAAGGGACAGTTTTGAGCATTTTTTGTTAACTTTTAACAATTCTATCTATGACATTCTATGCACAATTTTGTGATGACCAATGAAGGTGATGATGCATTAATTTTTTGTCTAGCAAAATTTCTTTGCTAAGTGAGGTAAATGTTATCAATTCTTTTGTTGTTAATTGATTTTTTTATTAACTGGAGCCTTTGCTAATCAAGGTTCTACTATTTATACATTTTTAGGGATGTTCCTTATTACCATGTCTTGCGGAAATGGCTGCCATTTTTCTTTGGAATGAGATGTGCAAATTTTGTCAATCACATTTTAAAGCCAACACCTGTGTGCAACTTTTATGTAAGTAAAAATTTTTAAATGGCAAATATTTTTCTTGCTACAGACTTTAGCAGAGGTTCTTGTCCAAAATCTCTTCATACTTTTTTCGGGGATTTTTTAGATGTAGTAAATGAATGAATTTTTAACTTGCTTTATGCTACATAGACAGTAAAAATGTTAACTTTACACCACTATTTTTAGTTTTGCAATTTTTTAAGAATTTAGCTGCTTCAACATTTCTGCAAAATTTTGGTCAACTGTCCCAATTTACCCCTCCCATCCCTTATTACCCCATTTGATGGTATCAATTGGGTGCAATTTCATTATTCAATGAGGAGATGTAATCCCTGCTGCTGCAGCAAAAATCTTTTAAAGTAACTTGTGTATATGGTGTGTTTTATTTTTCAAGTTTGCCCATTGAGGCAGTTAGAATGAACAATGTTGAGTTTGAATAAAGATCTTTTTATGCATCTCTGTAGTACCTTGATTGCTACAGTGCTGATGGGGATTAGTCATTGAATAGTAATTCACAAGGTTTTACTAAGGAGTTTTGATCTAGGATTTATAATTATTTTTAAGCCACAACAATAATTTGAGACCTATTTATTTGATGTTCATTATATATTGATCTTGCCATATGACCATTAAATGGAAACCTTCACAGCATATATTATGGCTGTTGAAATTTCATGTTTTTTCTTTACACATATGTTAGAACTGGTGACAATCTTTGCTTTTAATGCAGAGTTTTGTATCCTGCAGAAAAGTTTCCTCAAAAGTATTAATTCATATTTTTTCTTCATTTTCCAAGGTCTCGGTACAAGCAAGTGGGCTCAAAGTTTAGAAGTAGCGAAGATTCAAGAGCCATCCGGGCAATTTCTAGAGAAGATGGTCGACGAGCTTTGAGAAGCAATGTTGTTCAAATCCATCGCAACATACCTGAGAACCTCAGTCCTGAGTCTTCTCCTTCAACCTCTGCTATCCAAAGTGCCAAAAAGTCTTCAGCATATTCTGCTCTTGCTAAAGCCCGGGCTGCCATCAGCAGAATGACTGAAAACAATTCATCAGATGACAAACCAAGGGCTTCTCCTCGAGATCAGGCACTGAAAAAAGCCCAAGATGGTTCAGCTAGACTTAATCAAGCCTCTGTAGCATCTTCTTCCAAGCCCCCAGTGAAAAAGACTTCCAAGCTTATTGGAGGCAAAACCTTGGAAGCGCTACAAAGTGAGTATTTAATAATTTTCAGTCATAAATAATTAATAGATAGCAACAAACCTTATGCTGCCTCATGGCTTCTGTTTATGTGAGATGGCTTATGAATTTAGCTTTCACTTGGGCTTTGTTCTAAATTGACCACTAAAATATGTATGATTTACCTGCTGCCCTCAGTACTGGGTATTTTTTTAAATATTAAATGAATATCTCTGATTTGTGTGGTTGGGTGCTCTGCCTTAAAATCGACCTTTTATAGTGTTTGTGGCTCTGTTGCTCACTTGTCTTTTGTATGGTTTTCCTGAGATTCCAGCTGCTATTTTACTAGCTTCAGCTCATGGAACAATTGAGACCTAATTGGTGATAAAATGTGTGAATTTTGCTTTCTTTGAAATACTAGTACACTTCATATTTGATGTACTAGGTATCTAGAAATATTTGGACATTATTGATAGATTATTAGAATGTGTTTACTTAGCACAGTAATAACTAAATTGAACATATTTATTTTTATTTCAGAGGAGCGTTTAGAAATGCTCCGATTGTACAAACAGCGAAAGCAAAGAGCTCTTGAAAAGCAGAAGATCAACAAAAAACCTCATTTTTGGTTGGGCGTTGCTAAAGCTGAATCCCATGTTCTACTGTGGCCATCTGCATCTGTGAGTTCTGGGGAATTTAAAAAATTCATGTATGCATATAATTGAGTTAATGAAATTAATCCTTTCATTGCTTTTATTCTGTATTTTATTCATTATACTCAGAGTTCAGCATATTATTCTATTGTTTTATTTATAATTTCTTAACCTCTTGGATTCTGAGCAAAATTTTTACTTTGGCATTCACTAACAGTCTGAAAAAAGGCTGCCTGCCAAAGTGGAGACACCCAGCAAGGCTCCAAAACCCATCTGGCACTCAGGCTTCTCTTCTATGTCAAAAAAGAATTTGGTTTCAAGAGGAGCTGCTACTTCATCAATGAAAGTTGCTTCCACTAGGAAAGTTGCTTCTCCAATGAATGTTGCTGCCAAGGAGTAAGTGTGAATGAGGAACCAAAGAGGATTTTAAATTTTCTAACATTTGTATTCACTTCTAAGTTGGTATACCATCTTTTTTAAGTTGGTATACCAAAATTGATGCCTCTTTCAGTTGTGAGTTTTTAAATGAAAGTATTGATCCAAGTTAGCTTATGGAGTAAATTTCTTAATTTGGGCTTCAAATATTTAGATTTCAAGTATTTTTTAAAAGTTTATTTATGAAATGATTGTTACATGATAGTTCATGTTTTGACTACCCAGTATTTATGATCAGAGCTCTTAGAAGCCACAGGCAGCTGTTCACCCGTTCATCCAATGATGCTGCTATGGCTGGGACTAGCAGCCAAGGATCATTTACCAGAATTTCAAGCAAGAATATCAGCAGAGGCTCAGGTGACTTCTTAAGATGCTAAGTATTCTGCTTAGGATTTATGGTTCAGTCTTATTCATTACCAAACCCTTGAACTTATTTGAGGGACTTCACACATGAAATTAGCAATGTTCATTAGTATTCTGTAGCATAAATATTCTGCATCCGAACTTTGAGAAATTGCCTTACTCAGCACCTGATTAAATTGGTTATGTGATGAAATAAAATTTTAATTGCTTATGTTTTACCTTGTACCATTATGTCTGCGCTATAGTACCTTCCTGTACATATATGTTGAAAAGATCTTTTTCCAAATATTGAACTGTGAAAATTTAAGTAAAATTATTTCCCAGAGAATGACTTATTAGTATTTTTTTATTGCTCTATGTCCCAATGATCACCAAGTTCTGATTTTTGGTTTATATATGATTGTTTGTCTTACAGGCAAAACTGGAATAAAACCTGGCTACTCATTTGCCCCTGAAGGTTACAAGTTTTCTGTGAGTACTGGTATATATGCATGTAGATTGAAAAATTTCTTAGGAATTAGGGGAAATCATGAATCATTGAACAATTTTTTCCTAATTCTCAATATTTTATGTGCTTTGTTTCACGCTTTCCCTAGAGGTTGCTAATGGAAAATTTGTTGATTAATATTTATTGATGGGCAGCTTACAATGTACCTGCAAAGAAAGTCAATGTATGGAATGATATGTTTTATTTTCTGGGCAGGCACCTTCAGGGCTGGAGAATCTACCTCGTGCAAAAAGACCAAGCATTCGATTTTCAGCAACTCCACCCTCTGTGACTCCTCCATCCACCGGCACTCGGCGCATGCCGCGCTCCAAGACTCCTAAGCCCAGCAACTGTGAAGTTCCTCTTGAGGACGATTTGGTGGCCGAAGCTACTGTGTTGCCAAATACACATTCTTCTTCCAACTCACCTGCCAATCCAGGTGATCAGAAAACAGGAAAAAAGCGATCTTTTGAACTCGGTGTGAAGAAACATACTCAGTCAAATGAGGTTCCAAGTGAAGAAGAGAATCAGCCAAGTTCTAAGAAGTGCCGTTCCGCCAATAGACCTTCAACGTCATCAAATAACCTGGAGAGTGAGGCAAATACGCATGCTCAGAGTGAACTCCGGAAAAGAACTTCCACATCATCATTATCTGGGAACAAGAATGATACTGAAATGCAGAATTCAAATGAGTCAGTTCATCTCCAGTTAAGCGATGGCCCTGATGTTGGAATAAATAAAGTCAGCTCTGATATGAACAATCGAAATTCTTTCTCTTCTGATGTGGGTTCAGGAGACGGTGCAGTGACTCCTCCTAACACAGCAGCTTCATATGCCGTCCGTGATCAAAGCTATTATAGGTCAAGGGAACGAAGTGTTTCAAAAGTTTCAAAGTCAAGCTCTGTAAAGAAGTCAAATTTGATTTCAAGATTAAATTTTTCAGCAGTTGCTGATGAAGTTGGCAATAATGAAATTATATCACCGATGGCACTCATTAATTCTAGTGTTGGTTCGGTGGTTGAAATACAACTTGATAACAGCACAAATCAAGAGGATCCTACAAATATCTCTAACAATCCCTTGAAACTCCTGCCATCTCCCTCTAACAGAAGTTGGTCTTCATCCCCAGTGACACGATTTTCTGTTGCTGTCACTGAAGATTCGTCCCCTAAACCTGCCAAAAAACATCTTATACCTAATTCAGTACATTCAAGAGCGGATAAGAATTCCTTGGAGAGCAGGTCTAGCGAGAAAAGTAAACCTTCCTGTAGTAAAATAGAGAATGAAAATTCACGAGAATGGGAAGAATCCCAATGGAGGGTCAATGAGTTTGATGAGATAGGCTGTTCCCCCGTACTTCAACTTAATTCCCGAAAAAAGAATACTGAGGAGCTACGGTCATCTAGCAATGAAAATGACAGTGCCACTGTTTGCTGTGCTCCTTCAACTCCTGCGCCCTCAACAAGCTGTAAGGTGCCAAATTCAGGCATACGTCGCTCGACTCGCTTTGCTTCTACTACATTGCCAGCAGGTAAGTCAATAGCTTTTGCCTTGTCTATCAAAGCGTAGCAATATTTTGCTTGGAGGGCTAGGTTTCATTAGAATAAGTAAGCCAAAATTGATATGACTCCTAAAATGACTCACAGTTACAATGATCCACCAAACGATTTACTTGTATTGAACTGCTGCATCAATTACCCATGTAATGTGATAAGCATTTAAGGAATTTCCTAAATTTTAACGGTCTCTTGATTTCAGAGGATGATGAAGTGTCAAGAACTCCAAGCGGGGCAGCGCAGCGCCTCACTGCCGTGACGCCGTGTAGTCGCTCAACACGACGCTCGCTTGCAGTGCACGCTGCTGCCACCTGGCAGGAGATCTGTGCAGCCAATCCTCTCTCTACTGCTAGCACCCCCAGCACTCGAGGTCATCGGAATACAATAAATAATACAGCAAACTCAAACTTATTGCCTGAAGTTGTTAATGCTGATTGTGATGCATCACCACCTACTTCTACTGCCAAGAACGCTGGTAAACGTAGTCGCCGAAAAACCATTATTACCAACTGTGCGACTTCGCCGACAGCAGCTGAGAACGTAGATGATGACCTATCACCTCCTGCATCCACTACTAAGACCCCTGGTAAACGTGGTCGTCATAAAATCATCAATACTGACTCCACGTCTTCGCCGACAGAAACTGGAGAGGCAAATGTCGAATTACTTTCTACTGCTAAGACCCCTGGGAAACGTGGTCGCCGTAAAACGATTAATACAAACCCCACGACTTTGCCGCCGGAAGCTGTAAACGTAGAAGATGACCCATCACCCCCAGCATCTACTACCAAGACCCCTGGTAAACGTGGACGCCGTAAAACTATCAATACTAACTCTGTGACATCGATAGTGGAAACTAAAACCGTAGATGATGTTGCATCACCCCCTGCATCCTCTACCAAGACCCCTGGCAAACGTGGTCGCCGTAAAACTCTTAATACCAACTCAGTGACATCGCCAATGAAAACTGAAAACGTAGATGATGTTGCATCACCCCCTGCATCCTCTACCAAGACCCCTGGCAAACGTGGACGCCGTAAAACTCTTAATACCAACTCAGTGACATCGCTAATGAAAACAGAAAACGTAGATGATGTTGAATCACCCCGTGCATCTTCTTCCAAGACCCCTGGCAAACGTGGACGCCGTAAAACCATCAATACCAACTCAGTGACATCGCCAATGAAAATTGAAAACGTAGATGATGTTGCATCACCCCCTGCATCCTCTACCAAAACCCCTGGTAAACGCGGACGTCGAAAAACCGTGCTTGCCATGGAGCCAACCTTGGAGTCGGAAGCTGGAGGAGGATTGACTGAGACTGTAGATGCTGAGTTCGCTGCGGTTGATGGCGCAAATGTTTCAGGTATGTAATTCATAAAATTAAAAGTTGCTATACTCTGAACTGAAAATGTTAATCAAACGTTTAAAATAGAAGGCTCCTACTTGCCTTCCTGTTGTACATTGTAATTCAACAATTATTTATGCGTTCTTCGTCAAACAATTTCGTAGCTGTAAAGCACAATGCATTGTGTATAGAACTATTTGTAATCGTTTCTGTCTTTGAAAATTGAACTTAGAAGGTTTGCTGTACAATGTCACCTTTGCATTAACTATTTCGGCTTGCAGACTCGACTCTCCACACTCCCAGTTTTGCTGCCTACAGCATTATGGCCGAGCTGCTCCGTCCCACTACACCGCTCAGCACTGATGACTCGGACACTGGTAAGTTCTTTCCATCGATTATGAAATAGGTACTTTTATTCACTAGTTGCTTCTTAGAAACGAGTATTTGTCTCTTTAAATGTAGATTTAGTTAATAAATTGTGCTCCCGCTGGATATTTAAATTCACTTAATCTGTTTTTTAATTTCTGATAGAAGTGTGAGATTTATCTTGGAGATAGTAGAGATTATATTATTGATGTCGGTGCTTGTGTTGTGTCCCGCCTGTATGTGCGCCCTATGGTTAAGAATGTCCACCCTTCAGTAGTAAGCAGAGCCGACTGAGGCAGTCGTCCTCCTTTGTGATCGTGCTGCTTCGAACAATATCCGATGAGCCTTGCTTGGTCTTGCCGCCTTACCTCTTGAGACATTTACGAGTTTTTTTAATTTAGAACTGTAACGCTTGTGCCTTGTGGAATTTTTATATTGTGTGAATTTACCTAGCAAGATTTTTTTAGTCAAGTTTGCCATCAAGATGCATCGATCTCCATCATATTTTCATTTACCGGTAGAAATTGATGTAATTCGGCAGAAGCCTTTCTTTTATGAAAATTTGATTGAAGACCAGAGCCTGCTTTTTATTAACAATCTTATTTTTTTTTCAATGAGTCGAACAAAATTTTTTACTTGCGCTGTGAGATCAAAAAGCAAGTTACAAAATCGAATGACATTTTAATGGAATGCGAAGTTTTGAATATACAATAGGTATTCATTATCAAGCAGGTAAAGGGTTTTGCAAAACTTGCAATTGAACTTTTGGAAATCTAAGCTCAAAATCACTCTGAGAACAATTTCAGCGTCCGGACGAATCGTGTAGTTTGGAGGTTGCTAGCTGGAGACTCGCTCTCGATAATTTGAGCTTCAGCTATCGCCAGTCTATGCGTCAGGGCACCGCATAACTATGCTGGTGCCCTTCCAATGTCGTTCGGGTGATGGTTTCACTCTGAGACTCCCGCACGTGGTTCTTTGGTCCTCCAGATTGTAATTAAGAAGACTTTTAGTAAAAAGCATTCTCTGGTCTTCGATCAAACTAAATTTTAATGTGTATTGTTACTTTGTGATCTGTCCTGCAGATGTGTGGGACTCAATTCTATCGAACTCCTCGCCGGCCTTACCAGATATTACTGAGCAGAAAGAAAATGATGAACAAGAACTAGTGACTGATGAAGCTGAAATTGAAGTGAAGGAAAATCAGGATCCACAAGAGGAAAACGGTTGCTTAAAGAAGCATAACATGAAGCCCAAGAGACGATCTTCATTGAGGGAGGGTGTAGTTCTCAGAGCAATCAAATCCCGCAGAGACTCTGCACTTAACTCTCGCGTGTCATGTAAGGCTAAATATTATTGATTCTAAATCTAATTAGTTAGGCATCGTTAAATCTTTCGATTTCTTGGTGAATCATATTTTAAATTGAGATATGACTAATGATTCGTCTTGAGACGAGTGTATTGATTACGATTATTTTGTTACTGCTAAATTTGGAGCGCGCGGGCTCATAACACCGCTATCACCGAAATTGATGTGAAATATTTTTGTTTAATTCGAAGGTTATTGACATTGCTCCATCTCGGTGGTTGACCGTTGTAGGAATGGGAACTTGTGCTTTCCTTAATTGAAATTTTTTGTACATTTTTAGTGGGCTTGTTTGCACCGGGCGCGTTGGAAAGCCCGGTCATGGCAGCTGCTCCTAGTGGCGACCTCATTTCATGGGAGTCACCTGCGACTGCCACTTCTAAAGAAGGTAATTATAATTCACATTTTGACCTAATGCTAATGTATGCGCCGGAGTAAATAGCTTATCATAAAGTTAGTGGTTGATGAACCGTCACTCATTGGTTCTGTTGTAACACTTCTCGAAATTTTGATGACTGAGGTTGAAATAAAACCTTTGCTTTATTGCTCCATGCTATGAGAACTGTTTGCATTCGGATTGTTGGTCATCTTATTAATTATTCCCGTGACCATTTAGCGAATTTTCCTTTGTGCTTAGTATTTCTCATTAGAGTTATGAATTCAATTTTATTGAATTAGAATTGGATCTCGGTACTTGCTGTTTCAAATTTAAGAACAGCTATCATGTTTATTTAATAATTTTAATTAACAAATATGGCACATGCAAATTTGGCCATGATTCTGCCGTGTCTCTAAATTCCTATTTCCTGAACATTTTTTCCAGATGGCGACGTCGACCTCATGTGCTTGAATTCTCCTCAAATTAAAGCTGGTGAGTTCGTCTCATAAATATTAGAGTTTTTTTTTGGAGAAAAGGAGATGATAATGAAGAGCATTTTTTTTTGTTATGTATCCGAGCGCATAGATTATTTATGTTGAGATTCTCGTGAGACCTGTAACGAATCGAGCTAGGTGACCTAAAAGGCCTCTCGTATAATTCTACTATACTTTGTGACTAAATAATTTTATGGTTAATTTCGCTGACTCTGTCCTCAAGGCTTTTTTTATGTATTCGAGTTAGTTTAAACCGGTACAATTGCATTTGAAAAATTGTAATTCTAGATTTTTCAACGATCACTCGAAAGTTTGATAGATTATACTATCTTATGAATATGTTAACCCTACATTGGTCGCGTGAATTACATATGTAATCCACGCCTACGAAATCCGTCCGCAACGAAACCGAACGAAATGACGATCAAAGTGGTCAGTTTTTGCTCGCTACCACTGTAGGGTTAGTGTGTGTTGGTGTCGCTGATGTGTTAAATTCCGTGAATTGTCCGTACGCAGATTCAGGCCGGGGCCGCAGCGGTCGCGTCAGCCGCCTGGCAGCGCTGTACGAGCAGCACACTTCGAGCCCTGCCTCTTCTCCCGCCACCTCTAGACGCTCTTTGCGCCAGATTCATATCTCTCCATAATAAATGGTCAATCCGAACATATTCATCAAGTTCCTACTTGAATGATTTATTTGTACACATTCTTATATACTAACAGAGCTGTAACGGTCTATATATTTTGATAAACCTCCTCTTGAATTAATTGAAGTCTATTGATTGATGTCACTGCTACGTAATATTGTAGTCGTGTTGGTTGTTATGAAAAATTAGCTCTCCATGTAGCATGATTAATTACGTTGATCACAGTCACGGCGATGACATAAGTTCTGGATATAATGAGCTTGCTAACGCGTGTTGGCTAGCAATGCTTTGGGAGGTATACGCAAATTTGGCGATGACGATTGCCCAAAAAGGATAAAGTTTTAAATGTCTCGTAAGCGATGATTTTGTTGAAAAGGCTTGTTAAGTTGAGTCTTTGAATGTCGCCATTTTTTACTTTGAGTACGGAAGTCAATGCATTCAATATCATTTATTGAGACCTAAACTCTCATGATTTTATTTAGAACGGAATTGTGATTTTTCAAGCATGTTAGGTGCCGCACATTGTCGGTATGTTCCTTGCCGTTGCTTCAATGAATCATTTGGTCCTTTCACGGACCACTCCATATACCTGCTTCACTTGAGTTATAGCTCGACTTGATTGGTGAGATTTATTCGGAAGTCACGGCGAGTGGCTCTTATATTTCATAGTAAATTTTTTAAGTTGTAGTGCATATTATTTTATGGGAATATTTTGTGTTGACAGGCTTAGGTTTCTGAGTACTAGGTTCCTATTGTATTAGTCCACTATTGTTTTTACTTGCTTTTTGCTTAGGAATTTTTTGAGGATCCACATTTATTATCGGAAGTTGTTTATGAATGGTCTTTGGTCTTTTCATTTTATGCAGTAAACCGATATGCAAAATATTTTTACGATAGTGAGGCCAATGTTTTATTAGTGTGAAGCGGTTTCCTATGTTTGATGAATCGAAAAATCGAATATTTAGGATCAAGACCATTGCGAAATTTAGAGCTAACAAAATCTTGCTTCAACTGGAATTTAATCGCTGGATGCGTCGAACAGCGAAATCTTCTTTGCTTTTAAAGTAAACGGCTTTACCCTAAAACTTTTTGAAAAACTATTGCAATGGATGAGAATATAGCCTAATATTAGGCGTCATTAGACACCACCATTTGGGTTTTGTGTAAAATTTTACCTACGTGTTCGTTCTTTCTGTTTCCTGGCAATTTTTTTTTTTTGGCTTCAGCAAGCTTATAAAATTTCTTGAGACTAAGCCTGAAAGTATGCCTAACAAGAGTTGAATGCTAGTTTAATTTTTGTTTTTGCTTCGCCTTGCTTAGTTCATTCCGACCATTCATTTATTGTTTGTCATCACTGCATTGATCCAGCAATTTTTGTAATAAAAATTTCGTTTTAGAATGTTTCTGCTTTCCTTACAACTTGAAGAATTGTTTCACTACATTTGAAGTAGTTTTCCCACCCTTGGTATGAACGATAGTAGCGATATTCAGTCGTCAAACATTCTTGATTTATCATCTTTTGTACACAGTAACGTAATTTCATTGTTAGGACTAAGAATGCTATGAAAAGTTTTTCATGAATCTTTCTAGAAATATTTTTCGATTTTCGTATTCAATGATACGCTAACACTACCTACGCTCCTGGCAAGTGAAACGGTGATAATCTCTCCGTCACATGCACGTGAAGATTCAGCGTACTATTCACAATTTATTTGCTGCAGTAAACGAATTCTGCCATGCGAACAAATTCGACTGTTCTACCCTCTGAATTGCTCGGATGATTTATTCGTGAATCGGAAGCAGCGGCTATCGCAAACTATCCCTCGACGTTTTTCTAAGAGAGCGTTGAATTTTGTTGCACCATGAAGTCGAGATGGATGGCAATTTGCCTGCGTCGTTCCGTAACGCTCTCATTTAACGCTTTGTTGCTATGCTAACATTGACACTGTGTCCGTGTTGGGCCAAGGCTCAACGCCTGAAACGCGCGTCAGACGAGCCTGGCTCGATAGTGTCTGGATTTATACCACGACTTTAGAGCGTCACAGACAATGAATCTTCGAGAACAAGCTTTGGAAAGTTTCGCGACAAAAGAGAGGAGAAAATGTGCCGTGCCTGAGTTGATTGAAATTTTCGAAGAAGAGGAAAATGCTGCGACCTGAAGATGGTCTCGAAAAACAAGAATTGTAGAAAAGTTTTGGTGTTCTGGCTTTGATTCAGAGTGAAGTTACGCTGTCTTTCAATTCGAGTTATAGGTTGTAGTTGCCTATCAGATTTAACTATTCCTATTTATTAAACCAAACCATTTGATTTTTGACGATTCAACAACAAACAACCGTTGTTGAATTATGAAAGTTATTACCGAACATACACTTTTGAAACGGCTGAACTGACTCCATTAAAATTGGAGCCCTTAATTAAGGAACGGCCACACAGACATCCATGCCATTAATGAAGCTACTGCACAGTTAGGAACTGAATGAATTCCTATACAGGAAATATTCGGTGTAGAATCACGGTAGTTATCACAGGACAACAAATTCCCGAATGGATGAACTAACATTTGGACGTGGAGCTGTCTCCATCAAAAACCTACGAGGGGGCATCTATTAGCACCTCAAACACGTGGTCCAGCATCACACGCGAACTGTTTCAACCCGTCACAATGAAGACCAAAACTCAATTATAATTAGACTGACTACTAGATGACACTCAATGTGTGTGTTTGTTCTGTAGTGAATTTGAGAGCAAGTTCTGTCCCCGGGTCTACTATGTTTGCTCACGGGATTTCATTTGGTTGGAATGCGATGAATGTTGTGCAGAGGCGCACAATGCTGCGCGAATCGTGTGGCTCCGTCAAAAGAGCGTGCGGTGAAAGGTGGCGTGTTCCAGCCTTTGTGGGACCAAAAGATTTAAATTCTGCCGTCAAACGAATATATAATGTGAACAAAACATTTGGTTTTGGCTTGAACAATACGGTTAGGCAATTACAACATTTTCTTATTAATCTGCACATAATTCTCCCCAAGCTTGATTTAAAACGATATTTCTGGAACTAAAACTTTATAATCGTTTTGGTTACAAGATACCTTCGTGAGGAATATGATAACGTAAATCTTCATATCTAAAATGCCGTCCACGTACGTAGGTTTGCGTTTTTCCTATGCTATTATATCTCGTCCAATCACCAAACATAACATAATATAGTATTTTCGGCGCTGTAGAATAGGCTTGGTGTGGGGTTCTACATCATCATTACCCGCGTCATCACCCAAGGTCACCGCGTCATCACCCAAGGTCACCGCGTCATCATCATTACCCCCACAAAGCATCACTCGCTTATCACGAGCAAGATTCAAAATACGAGCATGCAATGAAAAGATTTGGCGCAAAAACTGAAATTGAAGCCCTTTCCAAACTTTTTAGAAAACCGCAAGCCACATGTGCTAAATTAATATTAGTAACATGGTGATATTGGATTATATTAGAGCTAGACACTTTCTACTTTATTAGGTATGAAGGTCACTCGTGTCAAAACATCTCTATAGTAATCACCGTACATACAAGTTAATCAACTGCGATTTACTCTTTCAATATGTAAATCTTAATCCACGTCCACGAGAAGAATTTCAATTCAAGGGAAAAATGGTGTACGTATGTTTGCTATCATATATTTTAAATGAGAGGCCTCCTGATCACGAGAGGAGCACTGAACTACTCTTAAAACTTTTTCACAGCTTTATAAACGGTTTACAGTCTGCAATCTTGTCGTGCTAGCTTTGTCTGTGTTCATAATGTTCAAATCGTTTCGATTGAATTTCTGATACTTCAAACACAAAGAAAACATAGTTTTGCTATGAGAGATCCAGCTCTTTAAATCACATATCTTACATTATCAGAATGCAATGAATTGGGCGAATCTATTATGAAGTATAAAACAAAATTGAAAACCAAGGAAATTTCCGGGCATTGCAATAAGCTGTATTATTCGTGGTTCGTTCCCTTATTCTTTTGAAGACAGCTTAGAAAATTTTCAAATTATTGGCAATGCAATCTGTATCAAGTGCTTTTAAACTCAGCCAATGCTCGCGGGTCCGACAAAGGAAGCTAAATGAAAATTCTAGTAAATTACCATGCTCAGTATTGAATCTCATCATGTAACATTTGATCGTCAAAAAGAAGATCTGTAGTGGAATTAGATGGGCGTCCTTGTAAGTTTGTTATGCATCGCAAATATGGATGGGATGAAATCTTTACTCGTCTGCCTGCACAACAATATATGTGTTATGAATGCCCAACGTGTTACTTAAGTATAATTTCTTGTTAAAACTTCAATCATATTACCATGATAAGAAAATTTTGCGCTATTTTTTCTAAAAAACATTAAGAAAATAAAATTAAAATACGAGACATGTGAAAACGTTGTTGCTTCCATGGTAGCATTTAAACTTGTTCTCATTCTCACGGTGAAATTCGTCTGAATCACACGGTGAAATCCGTCCCATTCACACGGTGAAATTTGTCCCATTCACACGGTGAAATTCGTCCCATTCACCCGATGAAATTCGTACATGGGTTTTCTATCCGGATGATAGAGGCACACAATACCCTTAACAGATCAAAGGGTATGGAAAAATCCGACAGGATTGAAGCGGCTGCAAGCAGATGTAGGCAAACAGTTCCCCGCAGACTCGGAGATTGAATGAAAACAACCCGGTGTTTGGGCAGCTCCTTATGTGAACTTCAGCTGGTCATAAGTACGACCAGCAATGGCGGCTGTCAAAAATTACATAAAATTATGAAGTTAATTGGCGATTTAATGTTGTAGTTTTTGCAAAACCACGAAACATTGTTCATGATTGTGACATAATAATAAACTTCTAAAATGAATTTTGGTGTTTTTCTCGCTGCAATGTATTCATGGAAAATGTCATTTAATCACTTGTACATAAAGTTGATCAGTCTTTGACTGTTTTTTATGCCTTTCCTTTATTATTTTCATTATAGGTCGGCAAAATTTGTTCCTTTAAGGAACAAATTTATTATTATTAAATTTATTATTTTTGTAAACCTCTGGTCAGTGTACAGTATGTCATGTGGTTTTTCTGAGATCATAATATATGCCTAGGAGAGCTTATTACATCATATATGCAATATCAAGCGCGAGCTCCGTCCCGAACTTCTCAACGATGCAAACGGATTGTTAGTTTAGTTTGTTATTCAGAACTTCATTACGATGTCTATAAGTGCTGATAGAAAATAAACAGGTGCCTTTACTTCGTTGAGGATACGAAGAATCTTCTCGGGTTTCACGGCATTGCGGGCGTAGTGCATCATGATTTTCTTTGCGGGAATGTACATGGATATTTCACGAGGCCAAAATTATGCCTAAAAGCATGACTCAGAAAAGAAGAAAGCTTATGAATGGAGGAAAGTATTTATCTTCGTAGCACATACTGATTTCCCGGCGGTGTTATATGAAGTAATAAAACTTATTGTTTCACGCAGTGAATCACGAATGCAATTTATCATTAAATTTTATAATGTGTTTACGTTTGATTTGGTATATACGCAACTTGAACAGAAGGATTCAAATACAACATTTTGAGGGTAGAGTCTGAACTTGGATTGCATTGAAATTCATACAATTTTCTCAAGCTTTGGCTCTTCAGCCAAGGATTTACTTCGTAAAGTCTACTTTTCTCATGCAAATTAAGTTGTTTTTATTCACAGTCTGGCCTCTAGTGCTTCTGAGTGTTTGAAAAGTGGATTTGTTATGAACAAGCTCGTCATATATTATTAAACTCACATTACAGCTTCTCAAGAGAATTTGAGAAATGCACCATCCTGCAGAAAGAAAGTCAGACAAGCGAGAATTTCTTCATTACTCCCACGGGTAAAATTTTCTCGCAATAAGAGTGGCCGTACTTCCATCAGGGGATGGAGCGAAGGAGGTCAACTCTAACTCTGGAACTACAAGTTTTTCCATGCAGAAACAAACATTCCGATTAGCAACCAGCATGGATAAAATCTCCAGTCATTATTGCTGATGTGATGATAATATGATGTTATTTGGACTTGTTTTCATAAAGAGAGTCATATGTACGCGTTTTCTCTAACTGACTCTTTTCTTAGTGATGAGTGGGATTCAATTTTTCTCGGCTGCGTAGCGAGGAAGAAGTATAAATTACAAAATATATGTTTTTTCTAGGAATATTAAATATGTTAATATTCGAAAGGTAAAATGAGTGCGGTTTACTATGTTTTCAGATGCTTCAAAGATTCGTTAAAGAATCAAGTATTGTAAGAAGTTGACTACAATTTTGATCAAATTCCTTCGCTTTAATAATTCATTAATTAATCAAGTATAGTAAGAACATCAGTGAAATGCAGAACGTA